TCTTGACAGAGAACCCCCCCCAGTACCAAGGGAGGGGACAGGGTGGGGTAGTGCTCCCAGACAGCTCCGTCCTGTGCTGGGGAGCTGAGAGGTGCCAGGCAGGGAAGAACATTGTCCCCCAGTCTGGGTCTTTGTTGCCTCTTCTTGCTCAGCAAAGGTGGTTGTTTCCCTCCTGCTCCAGTGTAGGCACTTTGTGGAAACCCAGCAAGCAGGCAGGGCATCCCATAGGAAATAAAGCTCTGCTCCTGCAGTCAAACCTGGAAGGTGCTGAGAGATCCCCTCCTGAAGACCTAGATCCCCTCCTGGATCTCTCTGTGCAGCCAAGACAGATTTCCCTGGCCCTGCAGAGGGCTGGGCTCGTGGGCAGGATCTCAGCAGTATGTCTGTCCTGTTGTAGCCAGGTCCTGATGAAAGGAAGTCGGAGCTGCTGCCTGCTGGCTGGGAAGCCAACAAGGAGGTGTATACACTGCGCTACAAGTCCACGGATGATGCCCATGAGCTGCTGCTGAAGGCGATCATGGTGGAAGACAGTATGATCCTCAACGTCATGGTGAGCACCCAGGTCCTTGCGGGTTTGGGGTCCTTCAGGTGCAGCAGCTGCTGCTGCCCAAAATGTGCCAAGAACAGCAGAGCCCATTCTGTAAATTTTTGCTGTTGCTTGTTTTACTTTGCAGCCACGTTTGTCCCTCAGGATGGAGCAGACCCAGGGGGTGTTATAGGGGCTGCAGACCTGCCTGTGCAGCAGCAGATGTGGCCCAGGGTGAAGCTGGTCAAACACCAGCTGCACTGGGGCAGTGGTGTGGTTTGCCTTGCACACTCTGGCCTACGAGTTCCCCCTTTTGTGTCCCCTTCCCAGCTCAGGATTTTTCTGTAGATCTTTTCTCTTGTCCCCTACAAGCACCTGCTCGTGGTGTTTTTGCTTTCACCCTTTGCAGCTCTGGTTGGGAGAGCCTTGCTGTACGCTGGAGTTTGTTTGCTCCTGGAAGTTTGGGCACAGCACAGGGACATGGCAGGAAGCTGGCAAGCCCATTCCTTGTGTCCCGAGCCCCCGGCTGTGGTTGTACCTGCTCCTTCCCTCATTCCCAGCTCTGCCCAGCTGCTAACTCTGGTTTTTGCCTGTCTTTGCCAGGATCGCAGTTCTCAAAAGGTGGCAGATGTGACCTTGGCAGTGGCCGACTACATCGACCCGGAGCACCTGGACAATTTCCACAAGTAATCTCAGTTCCCTGGCATTTTCTGCAGAAGAAGATGTCCCACTGGCATGGGGAGGAGGGCAGAGACCCGGTTAGGAGGAACCTGGAGAGCCCTTCTCCCCAGTACAAATCCTGGGGACAGTCCAGCCAGCCCTGAAATGCAGCCAGAGCTCCCTCCTCTGCCTCCCTCTGTGCTGCTGGCTGGCAGGAGGAATTTAGGGGATGGAGGGGCCCAGGGGAGAG